CTATCAACAGTCCGTGCAATACACTTGTAACAGCAATTATTGGATGCTGGGAAATTTTACACAGAACTGCACAGCTAATGGGGCATTGACATCGGTGCCAGTGTGTATTAGTAAGTTTGAGCACGCAATTGTACATTGCATTGATCAAACCCTGCAATATATGCACAAGGTTCACTGAGGCTCCAGTAAATTGTTTTGGAGCCTGAATACTAGCTGATGCCTGGTTCCCTGGTTCATTTCCTGATGTTGACAGTCATTTGTGGTCAGACTTTTCTCTTTTCCGTTCCCACAACTTATGAAGATTTGAATACTTGTACGGTTTGTTTGCAGGTGAAAATCTGCTAACCGGACACAGGTACTGCTCTGGTGTGATCATCAGAGAAACTTCAACGGGAGTAAAATTCAAATATTTAACAGCTCAGCTCATCTGCAAAAGGCAAAACGCCAGGGTCATCACCGCGGAAACAGCTAAATGCGTCCAGAATGTAAATGCTTGGGTTCTCAGAACAAATCCTAACGCGCCTCAAGTTGGTCTTCTGGGCGTGATGTGTGAACTTAGTAAGTATGGCATGTGTTAACGATGATAATTATGAACATGCAGTTATTTGCACATGCTGCTTGTTTCAAACAATTTCTGTTTACCAATTTCTGCCTATATAAGGTCCATGCATTACACATTCTAATAATCTGGCCACCCATTGACCATGATGCTATATGAGGAGACAATAACGACGACGTTTCCCCCTATGACACCAAATTTATGACGCTCCATGTTACTCTATGTTACAGAAGTGACTAACTTTGATCATTGGTTTGTAGAGCCCCATTCTCTAGGAGATATCTACATCTACTCTGTTTCAATGCCCAGCATAAGCGAACGTGTGGATCAAGCATAACTGCTTGGTTGACGCTGCCGAGGAAATGCGTATAATACTAAATAGTAGTAAGGTCCATACAAAGGAGTGTATAATTCAAAGTTAATGTCAGAACTGGGCTCATGCCAAGGAGTGGATATTTCAAAGTTAATGTTAGACCTGGCTATTGCGAGTACTTGTTCTGTACCTGCTATGTAGCGGAAATTAGTTCTTACAAGAGTCATTGTTTTTATCGGCAGGCAGCTTGAGTTTCTTTATAGAAAGTTCTTCATTGGGGCCCAGCTGATGCCTTGCCATGCATAGAATCTTAACAAGCGGTGCGATTGCTTAACTTCCTGACTTGACAAACACAACTCAAACAGTAGAAGGTTTTCATACTGAGATACTGACCGCATTCTTCTCCTTCTTCTTCGTCTTCTTCTTCTCGGCGCCATGACAACGTCCTGAAACAAATCAGTAAATTCATGACAGAAGTAGTATCAGCAAAGCAAAAGTCGTCAAATACCGAGCAAACTCCCACTAATGGTGCATACATTGCCTTCTGTAAACCGGGTCGAAACCTCCCCCGTGGCGAGTTACCTCAGCGGAAAGGTCTGAGCGATGTTTTTTGTCAGGATCACATGATTGGCAGTTTCTTTCAGATCTGGACGAGAGGCTAGTATTCCCACACTTTATTGCACCTACCACGTGTCGTCCCGACATAGTTCTCTTCTCGAAGAAATTGAGAAAGGTTATTTGGCTGAACTCATGGTGTGTATCGAAGACCGTATCATCCAGTCCAGGGAGAAGAAGCTGTCACGTTATCGCCACCTCAAACAGGAGTGTATGAAGAAGGGCTGGGACGTCGAGGCCCTCACAGCGGAGGTTGGAGCTACAGGAGCCATTTCCAGCAGCCTGGACGGTTTGGCACGAGCATTGGGCTGTTGTAAGGAAAAACAGCGAAGAAACTGCAGAAACGCAGCACTAAATTCCAGCTACGTTATCTGGCGGAGGTGACGTGAGAAGGCTTGGCGCGACTGGCCACTGTTTTAAAAGTCCCCGAGAGGCAGTTTGTTGGCACTTGGTTGGCGGACAGCCACCCAGCGAGGATAGTTGTGTACCCTTCAAATTTTGGTTTTAACTCGCCACACCGGCTTCTAAAGGGCCGGGGGTGGGTGTTCGCCAACCAAGTCGAGCTTTCGTTCGCTTTTTTTTCGTTTTTCTAGTCTACTTGCTTGTGCTGCGCCGCGCTGGAGCGAGTCTATCAGTAGATGCTTTCGCCGCATAGAGCTACTATTACACAAAGCCACAACACTGCGTGCTGCCATTCGCTGTATGCTTTCGCTGCACCTAGCTGCTGTTTAACTGCACGACGCCACAACACAACTTCACTACAAGAGCCTCGTCCACAACTTCACTACAAGAGTCTCGTCCATATTGCACTTTGCTGAGTACTGGCCTGCTCCCGCTCTGAAGAGCTGTTTAGCCTTCACCGTTTTCGCTTAAACCCAGCCTTTGGCCCACAGTGGCAGTCGCTTCCTTTTCTTTTTGTTTTCTTTTCTCCTTTTACTTTTCTCCATTACTGCCTAAAAATGAGTCGACACATTTTTTTGCCTACCAGTCTTTTTTTGAAAAGGCGACGAGGAGACAATAACTTTATTAATGCGATTAATAGTATAAGTGAAGCGGACATTACAAAATGATGAATGAGAATACATGTATCTAAAATGGTTGTTCCTAATCGATTTTCTTGAGACTATCATCAGGGAAAATCGTCTCACAATAGAGGCTATACGGAGAAACAAACTACTTATAGGTTAATGGATAGTGGGAAGTATACAAGGTGAGGTGTGAAAAAAAAACTAAAGTGGGAGAGAAGACGAAAGAAATTAGAAGAAAAGATGTGAGAGTGTTCTGACGGTGTGAGCTACTACAAAAGGTGAGTGAAATGAAGGCGTGGAAGCAGGTGAATGTGATAGAGTGAGGAACTGTGAGGTGTAGGTGTATGCGAATGAATACGTGTGTGAATGCTAGGTGAAGAGTCTCAGTTTTGTGACATTTTCTTTCTGAATGCATAGATTAGGATTGTGTTTACGGATGAAAACAGCTTCTAATACCTTAAGTTCACGAAACCTACGAGCACGACACAAAACAGTGAAGCATGAATCATCATATACTGAGCGGCATTGGCTACTAGACAAGAGGTGTTTCTTAATGGCTGACCCTTTCGTTGTGGTCTCACCTTCAGTCCGGTCATCTTCATCTTGGTTGTCCAACTCACTCTCTTCATCACTGCTCTCACCTTCCTCATCCTCCTCCGCTTCCATCCCGTCCTCTGCACCCAACGACAATCCCACGCTACTGCTCGCTGCCAGTCCATGTCCGGTTGTAGATGCTATTACCAGCGCACGAGAAACACCTCTTGTCTAGTAGCCAATGTCTCAAGAAAATCGATTAGGATCAACCATTTTAGATACATGTATTCTCATTCATCATTTTGTAACGTCCGCTTCACTTATACTATTAATTGCATTAAAAAAGTCTTTTTTTGGTGCGAATTACTTTCCTTCTCCCTCATTTTTATGGTCCGTGTTGGTGTTGTTCTTCCACTATCTAGCTTGTGCTCGTCAATCTAATGATCATATCAGCAGCATATCCGAGAGCGGTATAGTGACATGTGATCAGGGCTATGAATACATCCACCCACAGCCTGTGTGCATGGGAACGCAGACAATCGAACGCTGTAGCAGTAAGTACTCTATGACCATATCTCATTGTGTTGAAGTAGAGCGATGTTCTGGTCCCCAAACACCCGAGTTTTTATGCGGTGAAAAGCAACAGTTATAAATGGTTATAGTTTGTGAACTTTATTGTTAAATTAAAATTGCTGTCTCCGAATTGCTTGTTTAGTTATACAGGGCAGTACGTAATCATCCAATCAATTCTTCCAGTAGTTCCAGACTGTGGTGTGAAGATTATTGCACAGTATATGCTTGCAAGAGGCAAGTGCACTTTAAACACGATGCGACGATACGACAGGCAACTGAAGATTGGCAACTGAATGAGACTGAGAATGTGAATTTTGTTACAACTTGACAGTGCAGCACTCTACTGTACCTTCTATCTCCAATTAGTAGTTGCTACATGCTCGATGATGGTAATGATGGCAAGTAGCAAGCCGTTAAAATAACCAAGAGTTCATAACCCCCAAGAGTGTGCAACTCCAGCTATGGGGTCTGCGACGGCAGAACTTTACATCACTGTATAGAGGTTGTGCATGCAGTTGCACACTATTTGGGGTTATGAACTCTTCATATAACAGAAAACCCGGGTGTAAGTGATCTCTGTGTTTAGCGACCACATGCTCTTAACCGTTTTTCTATCCACCGACACTGCGGGACCTAGTTCTAAAGACCACCTGGTTTTAACCACCCCTTTTGCTTGCACCGTCGGGTGGTCGCTTAAACCAGGTTTTACTGTAAAATATGCGTCTGCCCAGTGTTGACTCCGAGACTTACGGTCAGACCAGCTGCCCAGTGTTGACTCCGAGACTTACGGTCCGACCAGCTGCCCTGCTCTCACCACCACTGTCGTCTCTGTGATGCCTTCTCTATACATACGCACCATGTACACTGTCTATACATACGCACCATGTACACTGTCTATACATACGCACCATGTACACTGTCTATACATACACACCATGTACACTGTCTATACATACGCACCATGTACACTGTCTACACATACGCACCATGTACACTGTCTATACATACGCACCATGTACACTGTCTATACATACGCACCATGTACACTGTCTATACATACGCACCATGTACACTGTCTATACATACGCACCATGTACACTGTCTATACATACACACCATGCACACTGTCTATACATACGCACCATGTACACTGTCTATACATACGCACCATGTACACTGTCTATACATACGCACCATGTACACTGTCTATGTGAACATTCTCACATCTGAAGGTTTGTCGTTTTCAATACAAATAAGCCTTATTAAAGTCGCCTTTAGAGTCCTGAGTGTGGGCGGAAGTGGGACCTGGGGAGACCACGAAAGGATATTCACCCAGATTCATTCACCCTGAATTGCTACTAATTCATTATTTTTGTATTTAAATGCCGTAGGCAGTAGGTGGGGCAGTAGGTGGGGCAGTAGGTGGGGCAGTAGGTGGGGCAGTAGGTGGGGCAGTAGGTGGGGCAGTAGGCAGGGCAGTAGGTGGGGCAGTAGGCAGGGCAGTAGGCAGGGCAGTAGGCAGGGCAGTAGGTGGGGCAGTAGGTGGGGCAGTAGGTGGGGCAGTAGGTGGGGCAGTAGGCAGGGCAGTAGGCAGGGCAGTAGGCAGGGCAGTAGGCAGGGCAGTAGGCAGGGCAGTAAGTGGGGCAGTAGGCAGGGCAGTAGGCAGGGCAGTAGGTGGGGCAGTAGGCAGGGCAGTAGGCAGGGCAGTAGGCAGGGCAGTAGGCAGGGCAGTAGGTGGGGCAGTAGGCAGGGCAGTAGGTGGGGCAGTAGGCAGGGCAGTATGCAGGGCAGTAGGTGGGGCCGTAGGCAGGGCAGTAGGCAGGCAGTAGGTGGGGCAGTAGGCAGGGCAGTAGGCAGGGCAGTAGGCAGGGCAGTAGGTGGGGCTGTAGGCAGGGCAGTAGGCAGGGCAGTAGGTGGGGCAGTAGGCAGGGCAGTAGGCAGGGCAGTAGGCAGGGCAGTAGGTGGGGCAGTAGGCAGGGCAGTAGGCAGGGCAGTAGGTGGGGCAGTAGGTGGGGCAGTAGGTGGGGCAGTAGGCAGGGCAGTAGGTGGGGCAGTAGGCAGGGCAGTAGGCAGGGCAGTAGGCAGGGCAGTAGGTGGGGCAGTAGGCAGGGCAGTAGGCAGGGCAGTAGGCAGGGCAGTAGGCAGGGCAGTAGGTGGGGCAGTAGGCAGGGCAGTAGGCAGGGCAGTAGGCAGGGCAGTAGGCAGGGCAGTAGGCAGGGCAGTAGGAAGTAGGCAGTAGGCAGGGCGAGTGGAACATTTACCACATGCACCATTGGGTTGTTGTCTAGGTTGAGAAAATTTTGGGAATTTTAGGGGAATTCTATCGATCTTTTGTGAGATCCATTGACCTTCAGAAGAGTTTTGGGGGAATTCTGTCAATTTTGACGTGCCAGAGAACAAGCGCGCATCCATGGACGAAAGTACCTGTACATACAGCAACACTCGGACACGACACCGGTGGCCAAAAACGCCAAAACAAGAACGGCAAACAGTCCTACTCTAGAGCCCCACGCCCGCGTAGATCTATGCATGTGCAGCCTGTGTACATAGTAGCTGTGTACGGTCATGTAGATCTAGTACATGTAGTGCAGATCCTGCATGCAGTGATCACATGCCTGACTGTCTATTTTGCATACTTCCTCCGTTAACAAAAACTTCGTGATGGATTTCGACGGATATGAAAACGCTTAGAACAGGTCCAGAACAGTTTGTATCGACTGCAAATCACTGGACGAAGGTAGTTCATCCTATGTACAGCGTCTTTACAAGAGAAACTGTTGGTGGAATGAGCAGAGAGTTTAGTTGGCGTCGCTTTTGCTCGACTCATTTTTGACCCTGCGTCGCTGTCGTCATCTGCTGTACGCGAGTCATCATCTCTCTCTCCAGTCGTTGTTCAGCTCCTTTCAGCTTTGCCTCGGCTTCTTTGATCATACACCGCTCAACTTGATGTCGCCATCGTTCAAGTACATGTAAGTAGTTGGCTTACCAGCTGCGTGATCCGCCGCTGTGCCGATTACTCGCTTCCACCAGGGAAGTGTAAAAATATTGTACGACTCCCTGGTTTCATCTCCCCAGAACTCCGCGAAACGAGGAGTAAAGGTACAAACTGATTCCATTTTCTCTGATGGATACTGCTGCCAACACTGAACGGCAGCTGCTAGCAAGTCCAGTCGACTTTCCATAGCCACGAGACTCGCGTCGGACTGCAGACTTCTGAAAGAATGCATGGTCATGAGCATTCGAATCTGGGCTTTGCGCAGGTTGAACAAGAACTACCTTACTTTAATTCAGAACCATTTCATTGAGCTGTGCGATCGGAGCAGCTCCTTGTTCACTCGCTCATTGTGTGGGCTCGCTGCTCCGTTCCATCGCTCTATAGCGCTCTCAAACTCAGTGGTAGAGTAGTAGAGAGGCCAAGCAGCGCATTATGCCTTCGGGGAAGTGGTATTTCAGTTTCGCTCGCCATGACTGTCATCACCTATGTTGCCAGAGCGCAACCATAGATTCCGCTCGGCTTGTTGTGAAAGGTCGCTTTCCTTGCATCATACTTCTTTCATGGCATACCAAGGAAGGCCGAGAAAGCGATCGTGACTCATTTCAAAGTAGTTTGTGCCCAAACGAGTACCTCAAAAATCCATCATGGAGTTTTTGTTAACGAAGGAAGTACTAAAGAGCATGCGCACGGCACGGTTCGTGCTGGGATTCTTTTTTAGGGGAGGGGGTGAATTCTGGAGAATTTTTTCGATGTTTTGAGAGAATACTTTCGAAGTTCCGCGGGAAATGCCCGAAAGCATAATATCGGGTGCGTGCGAGCATAATCCGCGCCCCTATTGTCGTCCCCACGAAAAACTTTAAATTATCTATTTGAAATCGATATTAGTGCTATCATATATTCCACTCTTCGTAACAGTTCTGTACATTTGTGCTATAGCATATGTGTTTGCCTCTGTGATAATATTGTAGCAGTTCCTGACTGTGAGGACTGAAATTCTCCTATTTTCGTACTCCTTTTCGAAAAATAAAGATCGGCTTCACAGCTTCAAATTTTTCAAATCCTCTCGACAATGCCACTCAGTGACTGTCTGGATGTTCACATAAGCTCTCTTCTTACTATCCTTCTCTTCTCTTTGAATCCTATGCTCCATGTCCCAAGATAAATCGCAAGCTACCAAAGGTATGTATTTCTCCTATCTTTTTATGCATACGCTATCCAACTTGGTTTAGCATTATATTATTCTACATTTAGTGGGCAAATGGTGGACATTTCTTCACACTGGTAGACTCCATTGCAGCCACTAACACATTCGGGTACCCCAACTGAAACGCTTAAAACCCCATCTCTTTGCTGTGTCACTTAAATTCACCAAATTGGTACACAAATGTCCCCCTCCTCCTCTCCCCCTTGCCCATCATGCCCCTGGTCTAACATGCTCCGGTCCATTATGCCTACCCCCAAATTGGACCATCATGTCCAAACATTTGATGAATACTTTACGTGACGTGTGCAGAAATCAAACCTTGCTTTGCTTTGAAATTATTACATCTTGCAAACCAATATGGGCATTCTACCAACAGTTTGAACAACATTCTTCTTAACTGTACTACCCTGGTTGAGATCTGTTATCCAACATGTCATATGAAAGAATTTGTAATAGGCATCACTTGTACTCTATGAGATATACGCATCTGAGATATGATGGGCATCACCCTTTCTTGTGCATTTCAAGGTAAATCCGGACTGTTATGTCCAGACTAGATTTTGGAGCATTATCAATCAGAAAGAGCGCACTATAGGGCGACGATTGCTAGAATGTTTTTTAAACTAATAATTACTATTGAACAAAAATCAACCGTCTGCAATTCTTTTCAAGGGAACGAAAACGTTTGGTTCTAAACATTTTTGTTGTTGCTGATTTGGACTGGTGTGGATAGCATAGATGTTAATATTGATCGAAGGAGCCACGTACGAATCATCCATTAGCAGTGTAGCTGGCAGTAGACTAGATATCGCGGCATATGATGAGGATCACTGACATATTTGGACCCACTGATGGCAGGTCAGTGTGACACATGTAAGTGGCTAGCACCAAACATGAGCAGAGCACCAGTCACTCTCATGTTGTCGGTGATGGTATGAGGTGATTCCAGGCTGGCTGCTTGTCCGGATCTGCCTGTGGCAATTTATCTGACACTGGCACGATACAGTATGGGAAAGAGCACATAAGGATATCAAGAGGTTGTGTGCGAGACATTCAGCTCAAGGTGATGGGGATGGTGCTTAGCGACATCCACTCTGCATGCCCGCTTTTCATTTGTTTTCTTACCTTTGCTTTGAATTGTACAGTCGTGCCCTGTCCAAATCTCTACAGACGTGGAAGTGATGGAATCAGCTGTGTAAGGTGTTCTTGCGACGCACACGGAACAGAGAGCTGTGATCCTGACACTGGAGTGTGTTTTTGCAAAAACTATGTGGATGGTAAACAATGTGACGTGTGCTCTGATGGCAGTCACACAGCGTCTACTCATCTAGACTCCTGCACCCCATGTTCCTGTGTGGCTAACACTACTCAAGCCAAAAATACATGTGACAGAAATAATGGTATTTGTAATTGCTTGGATAAATATTCCGGTCGCAGATGTCAATCTTGTAGTCTGGGCCACTACCAATCAGGAAAGGACTGCATACCTTGTGAATGCAGCTCTGAAGGTACTAATAACAAGCACTGTAATGTTGCTACTGGACAGTGCAAATGCAAACCAGGGTATGGAGGAAGGCAATGCTCTGTGTGTGCAAAAGGTCACTTCCTACCAGACACTAACGTTACACTGGCAGAATCGCTGTGCGTGGCTTTTGACTCCAACTTAGAGTGTCAAGGTAAACATTTTTGAACTAATTTTGATATGCATTCACAGTTGTCCATCCAGAGTTCTAAGTTTCTCAGTTTACTATTACTCGGTCCGACTTATTAAGATGTGCGCTTCACTTCAAAACTCAAGCATTTGTACAAAGGAGCACCTGTACTAAAAAAGCAACCAAGAAACGGTAGATAGATAACTACTGTGTCCTTTCTTGGCCTGACCTTCTAGTTTTCATCGCTGCTGGTGTCTCAGGGCGCATCTGCAAGTGTGTCAACCTGCAAACGTCGACATTTTTTTAATCTCCTCCAAGCTACACTGCGCTTCTTTGATTTTTTCACTCCATAGGCACGATTTACACGATCAACTTCGCCTCCTTCTCGTGCAGTACGACTACCAGAATGGTGGCTGTAGGTGTTTTCGCCTGTAGCTCCCATGACACCTTCAAATGAGGCGAACAAGTAAACCACCAAGCATAAAAAATCACTTTTGACAACTGTGTACTGAGTTTGATCTGTGTTGACATGTCATCTCATGCAGTCAGGCCATGGGTGCTCTTCCCTGCCTGTTTCACGAATCCACTGGCCCCGGAGACTGGCGATCTTGTGACGTATCGCGATCGCGGCTCCGCGCACGGATCCGATGACTCTGCACCGTATCCGCCGGATAATTCACCCTTTCTGCGCTACAGTTTTCCAGACAGGTTGTCGCCTGAAAGTCGACCTCAAGGTCGGTTATTTATTTCGATCAACTTCTCGACGATCTCTTCTGTGATCTTGATTCGTCGGCCGCCACATCTTGATCGACTCTGAGAGAGATCAGCAACCTGGACGGAGCGATGCTGGTGCTTTCTGCACGAGTTTCTGGATGACGTCGCGTTTGCTGAAATTCTGCCTACGAAATAGCGATTCCAGCGATTTCAATCCGCCAGGAGGCACTCGAGAACGATCGCCCAGGAGGTTCTGGTACTCCGTGACAATCCACCATCGCAGTGGGGTGTTGATTTCAGCACCAGGCCTTCTCTGTGTTGCGCAAGAAGCAACAGGAGTCCCCTGACGGCAAAATGCTCGAGTCGACTAGGATCCTGACGCGCTGCCTCCTTTGGAGTTGGAGCCATTTCTTCTTCAACATCACAAATTGACAACTGAAGGATAGTGTTAGATAGCTGGAAAGTTTATTCCGTCCTGAGATTATTTGAATTGGTTTGGTTGACGTTCGAAGCGAAACGCACATTTTAATAAGGCGGACCAAGTATTTATAATTTTAAGAGAAGAACCACATGAGAACGAATTATGCACCAACTATCCACGACTGTAGCAAGATGATAAACAGTCAGAAAATGCGATAATATGGCACAGAACTGACAGGCTACTGAGATATTCTATCGACCTGAGACCTAGC